CCCTCCCGAGCTGCGCGCACTGCAACGCAGAGCGGGTCTGCCTGCTGTCCAGCCTTGATGGCATTGGGCGTGAGCCAGGCGGGCGTGCGGCTTCGCACAACCGTAGGTTGGTCTGGCTCAGCCAAGAGCGGGTCCTCGTCGTCACCGCTCTCGCCCTCATCCGCGTCGTCGTCATCGTCGTCGAGTTGTTGCGGCAGGACCGGTGCGGCAACCACGTCAACTGCGGGCTCGGCTGGCGACTGCTCAACAGCATCGCGAGGAAGGCGGGAGAGCGCATCGGCAACCACGTTGCTGCTGCCTGGTCGGTGAATGACCTCAAAGTCGCAGTCCTGCAGCTCGAGGCTCCAGCGTCCAAGGCGACCGCGCGGATCACGGATGGATCGCAGCCAACGCAGGGCAGCGTGGTCCGTGACGACCTCAAACGTGGTCGCAAAGACGTACGGTCGGAACTTGCGGATGGCCCAGACGACACCAAGGCACTCCTGCTCGCTGACGGAGTAGTTTTTCTCCGCCGCGTTCAGCGCCCGGCTGATGAACGCCACCGGGTGGTGCACGCCATCGTCGCCGGCTTGCGACAGCACGGCGCCAAGGCCTGTGCCGGAAGCATCCGTGGTGATGCGGAACGCACGCGTGAAGTCGGGATAGGCCAGGACTGGCGCGCGGCAGAGCTCAGCGCGAAGCTCGTTGAAGGCGGCCAGCTGCTGCTCTCCGAAGTCAAAGGGCACATCCTTCTTCAGCAGCCGATAAAGGGGCGCAGCAATGCGGGCAAACTGGGGAATGAACCGGCGATAGAAGCCAATCATGCCCAACACGCGGCGGATGTCCTCCACTGACGACGGAGGCGCAAGCTTGGAGATACCATCCAGCTTCGCCGGGTCGGGGCGCACACCGTCAGCCGAGACGATGTGGCCAAGGTACTCCGTGCGGCGTTGCAGGAAGTGGCATTTTTCACGCTTGAGGCGCAAGCCAACCTCCTGCAGGCGCTGCAGCACCTTGTCGAGCAGGGCGATGTGCTCGTCAAAGCTGGAGCTGAACAACAGGATGTCGTCCAGGTAGATGCACGCGTTGCGAACATCAGCCAGCGCGGCCTGCATGGACCGTTGGAAGAACGCCGGGGCGTTGCGCAGGCCAAACGGCACCACCTGGAACTCATACAGGCCCGTGTGGGTGATGAACGCCGTCTTCTGGCGCGCATCCTCCGCCAGCGGGCACTGGTGGTACGCTGACGCAAGGTCGAGCGTAGTGAAGAAGCTCGCGCCACCCATGTTGTCAAGGGTGTCATCGAGGCGCGGCATGGGGAAGGCGTCTGGGACGGTCACCGCGTTCA